TTCTTGACACGATTCTTATGCCAGTATTATGATAGCTGTCCTACTGCTAATACAAAACAAACGCTTGTCCTACAATGCCTCCTCCGCTGAGAATATAGAGCGGGAAAAATCTGGTATTTTGCAGAAAATTTGACTCCAAGATCATCAGTACTGAGCGACCTGTCTCTCGTTCTGCTGTGCGACCCTAAGCTGTCGGAAACGCTCGCCGTCGTTTCTCGTCCATCATTTGACAATGGAAATTTATTTTCCATCTACATTTTTTCTCCATTTCCAGTCAATTAGAACGCAGCCATGTATCGCACCAAAAACGTTCTGTTATTTATCGCGCATGTGCATGACCTGCCCCTTAACCTGGATGGTAGTAACGCTGACGCCTAGTAAAACGTATCGGATCAGCGCTACAACAGCGCGACGGACACAACATAACATAAGCACAAAACGAGTAAGAACGTCGCAGTACTGACTGATCTGGAGTCGGTTTTCGCGAAAATACCCCGATTTTCACCGGCTCATTACTCAGCGTATAGGCAGCGAGGAATGCGGTTTGTTTATATTACAGGTTAGGACCATGCTGATCATTAATACTGCATGTCCCTACGATCGGTTGGTAGGCGAGGTACGTGTCCGGCATAAATTCAAATAGACTTACCAAGGGTACGTTCCGGTAATCCGACCGTACCCAGGGTACGTTCCGGCAGGTACCTGGCGGAACATAGACCTATCACCACCTGTAATGCGTGCTTGCTTGCGTGTGTCGTGCGTGCGTGTGCAGCGTGTGATGTGCTGTGTGTGTGTGTTTGTGTGGTGGGGTGGCGTGCGTGTGTGCACATTTGTTGTTTATTTGTAGCTGTTGCTACTGGATGGAAAATGACCAAAATTCGTAAGGCTGCAGTTTAACCAATGGTAAAAAAGGAGGAGGATCCAGTGTTGCCCCTCTTCACGCATAAGACAAGCGACGTTTGTCCGACACAAACTATTTTAGTTGATCTACGCCGTGTGTGCTGCAAGCGCATTCGACTTCATTGTTACAGCTCCTCGCTATTTTACTTCTAGTACAACTAACAGAAATAATATAAAACACAACAAGTATTGCATAGATTTCTTTCCTCCTTCCAGTTTAGCTCACACTTGACAATCGTCAAGTATTGAGCCTAGTCTGCCATAGGGGGGTGTCGTCCGTCCGTACCATCCGTCCGTCCGTCCGTCGTACAAACATTTGGCTATGGTCAACAATAACGTCAGGAACCGTTGACCCACATTTTAAATTGCATTAGTTGTTACTCCTATGGAGAGGTTAAACGTCACTAAATTTTGGAGCCCGCAAGTCGACTACTTCGAGCGACGTCCACTTTTGGCAAAAACATGAATGGCTAAGTCAGTTTCAGGTCACCGGATTTTGCTCATTCTGTTATGTGAAATTGAATAAGGACTGCCCAAAACATCTCACATGGGTTTTTGGTATTTTAAAATTATGCCAAATAGGCTAATTTTGCATTCACGCTATGCATTTTCAATTCTGCGATGTTGTGAGATCAGTGAGTTAGATGTTGTGAGTTCAGTGCGTTAGATGATGTGAGTTCAGTACGTTAGATGTTGTGAGTTCAGTACGTTAGATGTTGTGAGATCAGTGAGTTAGATGTTGTGAGTTCAGTACGTTAGATGTTGTTAGTTTAGTACGTTCGATGTTGTGAGTTCAGTACGTTAGATGTTGTGAGTTAAGTGAGTTAGACGTACACGGAGAGTAAACATGCCGCCACATGAAGATATTTTAAATGCACAGGTAGTCAGGTACAGTCGTGTCGTGAATTTATTGTGGCTCGTATAAATTTCGCACTGACCTAATTCACGTGAAATAAATAATTTAATAAAATCCTGTGATAAAATAATGTGAGCTTACATATGTTGCAAAAATTCACTACAACTCAATCGTATTGCTACTTTCATAACATTTTTTCTCAAAATCTAAATGAAATTACTTTTCTTAAGAACGTAGCACCACAGTGATGTTTACACATCTGTGAAACAGCGGAGCGATCGGCTCGATTCATTAACAGTTCTTTTCTAGGATAAAACAAGTTATAATTCATTATTCGATGTTTATTCAGTACAAAATTTTAAAATTTGTTTCATATTGTTATCTATATTACTTATGCAATCAGGAAACAAATATAGTGTTTTCGTTCCAGGAACTATTTGCGCTAGCGTAGGGCGACTGCTAGCTGTGTAACAAAACTGAGTCCGACAGAGTTTTCAAAAGAGTCAAATTCGGAGCACATTTCTGGCTCAATGAGAATATTTCGTGATGTTTGCACACTACAAGTATGCTCACAGTAGGCCTATACGAGCTTTTTGTTGCGAGGTTTATCCGATTTAAGCTTATTATATTTAATCGATTATGCATGGCAAACTTTAAATTATAAAAGTGGAAATATTTTTTAGCATAAACAAATTTCATAATTGATTTTGAGATGTGCTGATTATCTTTACAAGTGAAAGCACATAAGTTAGAATCATAAATGGGCATATAGGCTTTGCCGAAGTTGCTCAGCAGTTATGCATGCAGACATCCACATACAGATATATACCATTTCCAGTATACCAAATACCGCTTTTAGCCATCTTCACGACAACTTTCTCCCTCTCTCTCCTCTCTCTCTCCCCCTCTCCCTCTCTCACTCTCTCCCTCTCTCCCTCTCTCCCTCTCTCTCCCTCTCTCCCTCTCT